CAAATACAAATATACACGAACACACAAAGCAAAGGGGGATTTATTTTAGTTGTTGTTATTGGCTGTGCCGAAAACAATAACAAAAACAACAACTATTTGAGTATTAAAAATGCGTTTTCATAGGCGCCGCCTACCGCGTGACGTCACTTGCACTGCACTTGCTGCATCTTTGCCTCCTTTTCTTTCCTTCCTTTTTTTCTCCGTTCTCTCTTTTCTTTCTTTTTTTGCTCTTTTCGGCCGGCCACCTAAGTTTTGGGGAGGTGAGAGAAGAGAAAGGGGCGGTGGGCGGTGGAGAAAGGGCAAGAGGAAGCAGAGAAGAGAGTGCAGCCGAAGCTTTCGTTCGTTTTCGTTCGTCTTTCTGCCACTTTTTTTGTTGTTGCTCCCCCTTCTTCGCTCGCTTTGTGTGTGTGTCTGTGTGTAGGAGCAAGCAGCTCGCTGTCTCTTTCGCTCTCCCGCCCTCTTATGGGCACTTTAAGGGGCGTGGCCAAGTGTGCTGAGTGTGTGTTGTATTGCTGTCGCCACTTTTTCTCTGCTCTTTTTTGCCATAGTTTCAGTGCCTAAGCAGCAAAGGCAACAACAACAAAGCAAAAAGGTTAAGGATGGGAGGGGGGAAGAAGAAGAAGAAGAAAGAGGGTTGGCAACTATTTTGAAACACTTTCTTACTGGACATTGGCCAGTTTCTCTTTCTTGCAAACGATTGTTGTTGCTGCTGTTGCTGCAGTCGAGTTGCAAGTTGCTGTTGCTTTTCTCTTCAAGTTGCAGGTGTAGGCAGCAATTTTTGTTGTTGCCTATTTGTTAACTGATTGGGCGATTTGGTGAGATTTTCGACTTGTGTCTTAAAACATTTAAAGAAAGCAGGTTCTTAAGTTAAAAACAAAAAGATAACAATTTTAACAACATTTTTAGGGTTTAGAGTCTTAAAGGAAAACTTAAACTTAGGGTTCTTTAAAACATAAATAGTTCTTCTAAAATAAAGAAAGGTTTTTTAAAAATATCTTAAGGAATCTGCTACAATTTTTTTAACAGCTTTTTGTATACTTTTAATTCTAAATATCTAAAAACTGAAAACGAGAAAATAACTTTTAAAGTAATACATTTTTTTAATTTACAGCAAATGTGCATGGATTCTTATTTATTGTAATATTAAAAATGTAAAACAATATCATAAAAAAAATGAATATAAAAGTTTTAGCATGGTTTTTTGTTATGAACTGTATTTCGGATTTTTTGGACCTGGAGCATATCAAGTTATGTGAAAATCATTCTTAGTTTTAAGATCTTGATAGGTGGTAAATTTTATGATGGCATCAGGTGGTTTAAAGGCTAAACTTATTAAAAAATATTTTAATAACCCAGTTTTATAAAAAGAAATAATTTGTCTAACAAAACAAAATTTTATTTATATAAAAAAAGTGTTTAAAATTATAAACAATGAGAAATAAAGATTTCAAAAATTCATAAGTTACACGAAAAAAGATCTCTGAAAATGCCGTAAAATAAAAAATAAAAAGAGAGCCCACACTTGCTCTCTTAAGCAACCTCTCACCACCCACCACTCTTAAACCGGAAAACAGCACGCCGGCGCTCTCTTTCGGCGTCCGAGAGCGGGCAGCGCTGTTCGCGGCGCAGTCGACGGCGACTGAGCTGCTTCGAGTTTCATTCAATTTTTGAAATACAGTATCTGTGAGTTCGTTTATCCGTGGGATTCAGTTCGTTTTTGACTTTCGGCGTGAGTGCAACGTTTGAACGTTTGACTGAAAGCGACAACAACAAAAACAAAAACAGAGAGACAGAGCAAAAGCAACAACAAGTGACGTGCAACAACAACAGCAACAAGAAAAACAGCATGTGTTGCATGCAGTGAAAGAAAAAACAAAAACCAAAACATAAACACAAGTATTCTATTAATATTTGAAAAACAACAAGAAAAAGTGAACTAAAAGTGAAGGAAACCAGAGAAAAACTAGAAAAGTGTATGTGTGCGGTGATTATTAAATTAATTATAGTGCTTTATTTATGACAAATGACTGGGTTGCAATGAAAATCGATTTTGTACCTCCACTATATACTATCCTCTATATATATAAATTATCCAGTGGAAATGCCAGGACCACCCCGCCTCCCCTCGCACATTTTCCGCGCATTTTCCTTAGCTCCCACCAAAGAAATTGTAATTTATTAATTTATAACACAAGCCAGCCAGCGCAAAAAGGTCGTAAAAAGCAATGTTTCTTGGTCGCTTCTCCGCTTTTCGTTTTTCGTTTTCGGGAGCCCATGAAAATTAAGAAGAAAACCCACTCGAAGGAGCAACTTTTCCCTCCGAGTTTTCCCCACTTTTCCGAGTGGGTGGCACGCGCCAAAAACAGTTTGTAAACATTTTCCACACAGCGCAGAGAAAATCCAGACAGAAAAGCCAGCTCGCTGGCTCTGTAATTTATTACTTGCTGCATAAATAATAAATAAGCGTTAATAAATAAATACAATATGCAATATATAAATGTGTCTGAACGCCCACGAGCACATTATTTCTCTCTGTGTGTGTGTTTGAGTGCTTTAAGGATCCGCAACCTCGAGACTGAATTAAATAAATAAATACAGAAATAATAAATAAACAAAGTGTTTTTTGTAGCTGTCGACAGCTGCGAACGCTGGCTATAAATAATTAAACATAAATAATATAAATTACGAGGAAGTGGAAAAATCATTGGGAGTTTTTAAGTGTCTTAAAAAATGTTTTTATAAATAGTTTCAAGTTTTTAAGTTTTTTTTTTCATCAATAACTTTCATTTCAAGTTAAGTTTTCATAATAAAAGTTCTTAAAATCAGTTTTTGAAGTTCTCCCATGCTTTCTGCATTTAGGCAATTTACTTATTTATTTATTTGAGGCCGAGTTTTTCCCAAGAAGCATCAAATTTAATGCGAGCAGCCACGATAAAAGCAACAAACATGAATAAATAAAGGGAATAACAAAAGGCAGAGCGCGGCCATAACAATAAAGCAAAAGTTGCCAAAAAGATGGGAAGAGGAGAAGGGGAGTTTTCCCTCAGAACGGAGAACCCCAGATGATGGGGGGTTCTGCAACCCCCCGAGATTCCCTCGACGATGAGTCTCTGGAACCGGGGAACAACAATAAAATAAACAAAAATAATAACCAACGACGACAACGGCGGAGCCACAAGATTTAATTGGAATGAAATAATAATAAACATAAAAAGTAGCAAGAAGAAGTATTATAATAACAATAATAATAAATATAATTAAATTTTATGACGGCGGCAGCAGCAGAGGCAACTTTTCCACCCCGAGAAACGACAAACGAGTGAAGCCAACACAAACACACATAAATTAAAATTATACAAAATATTTAAATAAATATAATTACTTTTGGCTGCGTCTCCCTCTCCCCTTCATGCCATAAATAATAATATTTAATTAAATATAAATCTATGGACGGGCGATGTGCGCATGCAAGTAGATCCAGAGACAACAATACAAAATAAGCAATAATCGCACACACAATTACAAAGCGATTCCACACAGATACAATATATATAGATAGATATATGTATATATTCAACACAGAGGAGACTACAAATAATTGCAGCTCAGTAATATAAATTAAGCCAAATTAAACATAAATAAATGTGTGCTTAGCTTTTAGCTAATAAAGCACATTTCTGGCCTGGGCGGTTCCAGTGGGTGGCGATGGGTGGTGGGCGGCCGAGTGGGTGGTTTTCGGGGTGGCTGCTGGAAATACTAAACATAAATTAATAGAAATTCATGGAAATTTTGTGCGACTCGCAGGGAAGAGGGAAAGCGGCCAAGATTAATAGGCTTATTTAATAGAGTTATGACTAAGAGCAAATGCGCTCGCTGATTCAGCTTGATGTGTGGATAAAACACTTGCAGAGATATTATTATTGTTGCAGATCCGAATATATTCGATTGGCAGAAGGGGATTTATATCGCAAATATTATTAAGGCTTATTCCCGAGAAATCATACATTCTTACTATTAAACCAGAAACGTTTTCTTTGATGCGCAGATGAAATTGCCTATTTTCCTTAATTTGAAAATCTTTATAGATGTTTGAAGATCAGAAGAGCAAATAAGTTTTAATATTAAATGTGGTTTTGGGGATTTATTTATTGATATCTCGTTATATTATCGAAATTTCAAGAGTTTTTCTTGGTTAAAGAAGAAATTGTTAAGTTTGGGTATTAAAATGTATCGATAAAGAAGAAAAAACCCATTTTATTATTTAAAAACTTAGGTTTTAAAATAAGCTTCCCATTAAAAACCCTTTTTAAAAAATGAAATAAAATTATTACGACAGATATATCAGAAATATTGCCCAAAAATTACCCATTTATACCTTTTAAACCCCCAATCATTTTAAAAATATTATCTTTTCCAGGCTTGAACTGCTCCCAGGAAAGTTCTTGTAACGCGACCGAAAATGTTTTAAGAACCCCGCACAAAAACCCGCAAAACACACCGATAAGAACGGAAAAACCCTATATCAGGCACCATGGACATGACCAAACAGATTGTGGACTTTGAGTTGAAGTCGGAGGGCGGTGAGGCTGTTGGACCAATACGAGCCCAGTGACTACACGATGGCTCCTTCAGAAGAGCCCAAGATGGTAATGGAAGCTCAGTTAGAGGAACCCGAAGAATCGGACAGAAAATACTCCCCAGAAAGATCAGAAGAAACCTCGCCAGAAGAACAAAAAGAGGTTCTCAACGAAGAAGTGAAAGATTTAGATATAAAATCAACAGAGAAAGAAGCAGATACCGTGCTGGTGAAACCAAAGGCGAGTCTGATGAATGATCAGCCTTTGACCCCGCCCCCACGACCTTTGACCTCCAGCGAGGTGGTGGGACTGCGGGATCCCGATGATCCCGAGCTGCGCCTGCGCCTGGAGGCCAAGAAATCCCGCTCTCTGCCAGTTTCCCCGCAGCCCCAACAAAGTTTAAAGCTGGCTGGCTCTGCACTCTTTGAATTTGGCCAGAGATCCTCGCCCGTGGAGGCCAAGATCAAAAAGGATGGGGATGTAAAGCCTCCTCCCAGGAGGAAAATGGCTCCTCCCAGTGGCGGCGGGGATAATCAGCAGTTCTGTTTGCGCTGGAACAACTACCAATCCAATTTGACCAACGTTTTCGATGAGCTCCTGCAAAGCGAATCCTTTGTGGATGTGACCCTCTCCTGCGAAGGACACTCGATCAAGGCCCACAAGATGGTCCTATCCGCCTGTTCCCCCTATTTCCAAGCCCTGTTCTACGACAATCCCTGCCAGCATCCCATTATCATAATGCGGGATGTCAGCTGGTCGGATCTGAAGGCCCTGGTGGAGTTCATGTACAAGGGGGAGATCAATGTGTGCCAGGATCAGATAAACCCGCTGCTCAAGGTCGCCGAAACCCTGAAGATCAGGGGTTTGGCGGAGGTGAGTGCGGGCAGGGGCGATGGAGGGGCCTCCGCACATCCCATGTCAGTTTATGACGATGAGGATGAGGAGGAGGAGATGGCCTCGGCTACGGCTATCCTGCGGCAGGATGATGATCCCGATCCGGAGGAGGAAATGAAGGCCAAGAGGCCTAGGTTACTAGCCGAAGGAGCCTTGGACTTGAATCAGAGGCAGAGAAAACGATCTAGGGATGGTAGTTATGCCACTCCAAGTCCTTCATTGCAAGGTGGCGAATCAGAGATCAGCGAGAGGGGTTCCTCCGCAACACCTGGACAAAACCAGAGCCAACCCTTGGCCATGACCACTTCCACGATTGTGAGAAACCCCTTTGCCTCACCCAATCCCCAGACTTTGGAGGGCAGGAATTCAAGTGTGGCTGGAAATCAGAGGAACTCGCCACCTCCCCAGGGACACAGTAATGGCAACCACAGTGGAGCCTCCATGCACTCCCACCTGGAGGCGGCGGCGTCCCCGCCCAGTCCGCTCTGCCACCCCACATGGCCGCCGCCGTGGCAGCCGCCGCCCATCATGCCGCCGTTGTGCCCCCTCCCCCGCCAGCCAACATGCATCATCATGCTGCCGCCGCCGCAGCCCAGCAATTGGCCGCCCAGCATCAGTTGGCCCACTCACATGCGATGGCCAGTGCTTTGGCCGCCGCAGCTGCAGCGGGTGGGGGATCAGGGGGAGGAGCAGGAGGGGCAGGATCTGGAGGAGGATCGGGAGCCAGTGCTCCGACCGGCGGAGCAGGAGCCGCGGGAAGCGCCTCCGCCTCGTCAGTGGGATCCCATCACGATGACATGGAAATCAAACCCGAAATTGCTGAAATGATTCGAGAAGAAGAGAGGGTGAGTTGGAAAAAATGTTTTATACTTTATTATTTATCGATTAAATATCATAAAGAAATATTTTAAAAATTTTGAGTGAGTTACAAATTTTGTGTCTATGGGAATTATTTGATATTTTATCTCCTAAAATGGTAAATACTAATAACCAAAGTTGATTGGATGTTAAAAATATAGTAATAATTTAAAAGTCGTTTTAAAGGATTTTTTAAATGGCTTAAAAATATACAGACAAACATTCTTATTCGAAGAATGAGGTAAAAAATATTCAAAATAAAATAATGATATCATTTGCTAACACCGAAATATATAATATTTATTTATGGGATTTCATTTCACACTTAATACATAAACACAAAAAACTTAATAATCGTTTTTTAATTATATAAGCGAATAATAAAAACAAAAATGATATCATATTAACACCAATAAATATTACAAAAAGTCAAGTGATCTCAGCAATGACTACAACGAATAAAAGTAATTGTGTACAAAAGAAATGACTAAGGTAAATTAAAAAGTTATACAGATATACAGACTTTTCTTAGAAATTGCCTGAAAATGTATATTTATATCTATTTGAGACTTCTTAGGAAATTTAAAAGATATATAAACTGTATATCATAAAAAATGAAGTGACTAATAGACGGAGAATTTTGAGCATTTCTTTAAGGACTACCAAGAAATAAGAACAGAACATCAAAAGTGATTTATAATTACAAAGAATTAATTTTAAGGTAAATAGTGAGTAGTAATTGGTTAGGCGCATGATCTCCGATCTCTGTGACTAATAATGTTGTTCCACTTGCGAGCAAATAAATATATTGCCATGGATCTCGGCGAATAACTTGTCTTCTGAGTCAATACAAAGTAATCCATGCACAATCGAGCTTATGATCATAAATATTAATAAATAATGGCCATAATAATGCATTCGTATTACAAATATGGTTATTATATGGCAATGGAACTCATATAACATTTGATAGAAAAGTTTTCATAGCAAAGACAGAAGCTAGAAACAAAGTAGGGTTCCATTTCCCGGTTGATTTCCTTGCTCTGACCCCCAACGACCCCTTTTCGCCATCGAAGGCTGCGCAAAAGCAGCCCGTTTGCATAATGCGCATACGCCGCGTAAGCCAAAGTGCACACACAATCGCTTACTTAGTTCAGTTCGCTTTTTTTTCAGTTAGTTAGTTTATTTTCCCTTGCTGGGAAATGCATGCATATTAACGAAATCTTTTGCATTCAACGCAGTCGCATTTACCTATTCGTTTCGTTTCGTTGTTATTTCTATTAGATTGCAAATTAAAGCTGATTTACTATTTGTATAAGAAAACGGACTAACCAGGGGTTAGCCGGGGGTTAAGATGGGGAGACGAGGTCGCGACATTAAGTGCGTCAGCGAGTTGAAAAAAAATAATTCAACAACATTTAATGCTAATGACGAAAATTGCACAATGCACGCATACAAATGAAGGTAAATGCAGGAAAATAAAGGAAAAAGGCAAGAAAAGAAAATCAACAACTGCAAAATTATAAACAATTGGCAGAAATTGATGGCAAGGCAAACAAAAGTCGCACAAATATTTGATTTGTTCGTCTCGTTTTGTCTCTCGTCTCGTGCATCTGATTCTCCAATTCTCTAATTCTCCATAATTGCAATTTGCAACTAACTAATGCGCCTCCGATTTTCGCTCACTTTTGCACTTTGCATTCTGCATTCTTGCCTCTAATTTTGTGTATTTTCCCGTCTTGTATTTGTATTTCAGCGATAAACACTTATTATTTGACATTGAGCATTATTCTTGAGATTTTAGCTATTTTTGCTTTATTACTTTTGCACTCTAAATGTTTACATGCGCCTCTAAACATGTGTAAATAAATCATTTTAGACTTGAACAGGCAAAATAAATGCAGGAATGATTTATGGATTTTAATATTAGAATTTATTAGTCGTTATATACATTTTCCCAGTGTACCTCCTAAATTTATATAGTTTGCCTGCATATTTATGCGTGAGTAGAGAAAAACCCTTAGATATTCCCCCCTACTTTTCCCATATTATTCTCTGCTTTTTGCTCGCACAATTTACTGTTCCTTTGTTAATTTATTGAAATGAAATGAGAAATAAAATCAAGAAGAAATAGACGGCAGTAAAAGCGGCAAGTATGAGTTGGCACACCATTCCCATTCCATTTTCACCCCACCTCCCTTAGAAAAACCACCCAAAATTTGACGACGTCACTGAGAAAATTCAGAAGGAAGCTGCGGCTGAAAGCCTGTTACTTAATAGAGTCCAACTTTTGCCTCAGTCAATTCCGAGAGTTTTCTCTCGGCGAGTTTTCCCTCCCCCCCTGCGACTTTCCGCCACTTTCATTCATAGACTTCCTCGCTGTCCGGAAAACTCACACACAAACAGCTGGGGAAAAGCGAGAGAGAGAGATGCGGAGACACACACGCAGCATTGGGGAAACCCAGCAGTCAGGAAAAGTCGCAAGAAACTCGAAATCTGGAGGGCTTTCCCCTTCGCTAGACCCCCGCAAAATATTTTTGTGCGAGTTCCTTGACTTTGGCTTTTCTTTTGTGCGTTTGCGAACTGTTTTTGCAAGAAAATTACTGAAAATTGCCAAGTGCTGAAAGTTCTTTGACAGCCAAGGGCGGCCCTCTTAGCCTCTCACCAGTTTTCCGGACTTTTCCTCATTTTCTTTGTCTCCGGCGTTAGTCATAATTGCTCCATGTGTATCTCTGCTTTTTTTGGGTTCTTACAGCTGGTTTTCTGTTTTAGTTTTATGCAAAGCAGGTTGGTTGAACTCTTAACTCTCTTTCGAAATAGAGGAAATGGATCGGAGGTTTTCTTTTTGACCGTGTGAATGTTTTTTTTTAAATCTCCAAACTTAAGCCAAATGTCAGCGGCTGTTTCCTGTGCGGTCCTCAGTCCGCAGCTCATTAGAGGTCTTTGATTGATTCGAATCGGTGAAACGGGGGAAATAAATCAAATTTATGTCCGCTGGTTTTACATAAACTTACTTGTTGGCCACCCGGAATATCTTATCATCTAGAGACCCAAAAAAAAAACCTTTCCTATACCCAAGATTAAAGGATTTCGTAAGGCAAAGGCGGCACTTTGGAATTCCGAAATTGAGTCGCCTGAATTATATGTGAATTCTATAATTTACGAGGCAATTTCGATAATTTCTTTAGTTTTGTGGCCCCTTTGGCCATAAACGACAAAGTTGCAGCAATTGTTCTTGCTCAAAACGGTTATATAAAGGGAATTTTCGGAGCCCAAGTCGACCACTCTACCCAGCACACTCGAAATAAATAAGTAATTTATTTTATGGCAGACCCGAGCGGGCCATAAACCCACATAGATCTTATCGCCGCGCAAATAATACAACAATATAATCATAATAACAATTTGTAATCTTAAGTCGCGTCGATGCCACAGCTCTTGGCTTTGGTAATTTCCCTGATAAGATTTCTCCAGCCTGTTTTTTATTTTTCTAGCCTTCTTTTTTCTGCCTTTTTTTCTATTTTATTTTTAATTCTCTCTATATTGGCGCTACGTGATCAGTGCTCTTGTAGTTCTTATATTAAAGACTGATAAAGTTACCCGTTGGATTGGATGACTCGTTTGTCCGTGTGACGCAGTGACTTTGTGAATTTGGCCAAATCATCTTTGTATTTACAGGCCGACGGTGATTGTTTAAATAAAGAAAAAACGATTATCGTTTAGGAGGGTACAATAGAATTTTTATAACACTCTATATATATGGGTTTTTTTTCCACCCTCGGAATCATGGGACAAGTCCGTGCACTTGCCGGGTGGTTCGTAATTATAGCAAAAATATTTGGCTAATTGGCCCACGGGTTATAAGTTAGTATCAGATTGGTTAGTTTATGGCGAAATACCTTTGGAATCTGATTTTTTTATCATTGGAGGTTTTCTTGTATAGTTTATAACTCGAACTTTGCGCCCTTTTATGGGTGGGTGGTTTTTTATGTTGAGATTTTAATTTGTTTATGGCTTATAATTTTTATTGAAAGTTTCCAAAAGGTTTTAAAAATAGTTTGAAATTTTTAAGATTTATTACATTTTTTGAAATATTGTAAAAAGATGGGAGAGTTTTATTGAGGGTTGAAAATGCATATTAAAATGTATTAATCCCAATTATAATATGTTTCCTTAAGTTTTTTAAATAGTGCTTAAAATTAGTTTGAAGCTTTAACTGGGTATGAAAACATTAAAGCAACCGGTTCTGTCGTCTAGTTGCCTTTACTTTTTTAGAACTAGACCTTTTTCCCCCCTGAAACTTGTACAATTTCCCCTGCAATGAGTTCATTTCCCTGCCCATCCAATCCAATCCATTCCTATCCAATCCCTAGTCCCAACTCACTCCATTTGCTTAATATTCCAGCTGCTTTCGGCTCCTTCGTTTGTTTTCCTCGCGTTAAGTTTTGTTATATTTCCATTTATTTGGCTGCCTTTTGTTACACTTTATTTATTTATTCCGCATTTATTGCGGGCCACAGACACACACTTTTCTGTTTCTGTTTCTGTCGTTAGTGCAGTCGCGACTGTTGTCTTTATGACGACTACGATGACGACGACCATGATGATGATAGCGATGATGATGATCACGATGATTATTATTGCCATAGCCTGTTTCTGCTGCTGCCTCGGTGTGTTTTCATTGTAGGAAAGACATAAGAAAATTATAGGTATCTGCCCTTATGGCGCTGCGCAGCGGAGCGAAACAATAAAATATAAAATAAAATATGTACGAGTCTGTTTACGCAATTACAAGCGGACAAACAAACACACAGGGCGACCATGCCGGAGATACAATATTTATAACCGACAGATACGCGAGAGAGCTGCAGATACAGATACAGATAGAGATATATATCTGTGAACAATGCCATATAGATACGTGTGCATCTTGCAGATACTGTAACAATTAGGGGCTCTCGGGAGGGGAA